CCCCCCCCCCCCCGAGAGAGGAGACAGGCTGAGCGGGCCAGGGTCACTCCTGCTGGCTGCGTGTGCTTCTCTTGCTGGTGTTGTGTTGTAGTTTATTATATAGAAGGAGACAAAAAGAAATAAAAAAAAAGGAGACAGATAAATAAATAAAAGGAGACAGCTGAAGAATTTCTACATAAAGACAGAGCTGCGGTGTGGGGTGTCGCTCGCCGTCTCGGGGCAGCAGCAGCAAACAACTGTCTCCTTATACTAACCCCACACACACACACAACACAACTGTTTTGTTTTTTTTTTATTTTTTTTTCACTGTCTCCTTTTGTATCTCTCCTCTATTTAAACCCCCTGAGGTGTATGTACACCGCAGCGGTCAGCCGCAAGAGACTCTGTAGGGCCCAGGGCAGCCTTCTGCTGCTCTAGGAGACAGCAGTAGCAACAGCAGCAGCAGCAGCAGCAGCAGCAACAGCAGCAGCAGCAGCATTTGCTGCTGCTTCTCTTCCCTCTCAGCAGTCTTTATTAAATGGGTTATTGTAAGAACACACAACCCCCCGGCCTTAACCACAACAGCTTCTCTACAAAGAGCAGCAGCAGCAGCAGCAGCAGCAGCAGCAGCAGCAGCAGCAGCAGCAGCAACAATAGCAGCAGCAGCAGCAGCAGCAGCAGCTGCTTCGGCAGTCTCCCTCTGTCTCTTCTTCTCCTTCACTACAGGGCTCCCCAAAAAGACTCAAAAGGAGAGAGCAGCCAGGAGACAGAATACCACAGACAACAGACAGGAGACAGCAAAGAGGAGACAGCAGAAAGGAGACAGCAGAAAGGAGACAGTACACGCAGCAGACAGCAGAGAACAGACAGGAGACAGAAGGAGACAGGAGACAGCAGAAAGGAGACAGCAGGAGACAGCAGAAAGGAGACAGGAGACAGCAGAAAGGAGACAGGAGACACCGCGCTGCGTCCTGGGGGCCCTAGAAGAGCTGCGGCCTCCTGTGGAGACTGCTCAGGGTCTCCCCTACAATGGTGCGGTCTGCTGCTGCTGCTGTTGCTGCTGCTCTTGCTGCTGCTGCTCCTGCTGCTACTGCTGCTGCAGCTCTTGCTGCTGCTGCTGCTGCTGCAGCTCTTGCTGCTGCTGCTGCTGCTGCGCTCGCTGCTGCTGCTCTGAAAGGTCCTCCACTGTGTCTCTTCAAAGGGCATCTGCATGGCCTGGCCTCTCCCCTTCATCTCCACACGCCTTGCTTGTGCTGCTGCTGCTGCTGCTGCTGCTGCTGCTGCTGCTGCTGTTGCTGCTGCTGCTGCTGCTGCTGTTGCTTTGCTGTGTGGGCGTTTCAGCGCTGCAGTTTGCTGCTGCGCCCCACACATACACCGCAACATGGGGGCATCTAGAGGTGTCTCCTTTTGGGGGACAGTTGGGTTTTGTCTCCTCCCCTTTGCAGCAGCAGCTCAGGGTCTAGCAGCAGCTGCTGTCTCCGACTCTATGTCTCTCGTGGATGGCATCTCTGCTGCTGCTGTAGATGCTGCTGCCGTTGCTGCAGCAACAGCAGCAACAGCAGCAACAGCAGCAGCAGCAGCAGCAAGAGAGGCATTAGAAGCGGGTGGGGAGTACCCTGTGGGGCCCCCGGGGCCCCTGGACTTGCAACAAAGAAAAGTAGAAAACTCTGGCGATGGAGACAGTGAGGAGACACCCCACACTGTCTCCTTTGCTGCTGCTGACTGGGGAGACACCGAGTGGGTGCAGCTCGTCATAGAGAGACAGCCCCTCACCCTCACCTCTAAAGTAGTAGGCAAAGCAACCCCAAGTCCCCCCATACACCTCATGCAGGCCCCCTATCTCTCTCCTGCTGCTGCTGCTGCTGCTGCTAGCAGCAGCAGCAGCAGTTACAGCAGCATCAGCAGCAGCAGCAGCAAACTGCAAGACACGCCAGACGTGCCTGTTGCAGCACAAGCTGCTGCTGCACGTGATGTTCCTGCTGCTGCTGCTGCTGCTGCGCAGCAGCAGCACATGCCCACAGAAGCAACAGGGGCCCCCTGGGGGCCCCCTCGGGGCCCCTCCCCCTCAGCAGCAGGGAGAGAGAGACAGCCTGCTGCAAGGAGACAGCTGGAGGCCCCCAGCCACGTGCTGCTAGTTGTTGAGGTTGAGATGCTGCAGCAAACGTCACCCGTTCTCTATGCTTTTCGCTGGGGAAAACCAGGTGGGTATTCAGGATATATATATATATATATATATATATATATATATGTATATTTATATA